TAAGCAATATATACTTTAGCCTTTATAGCTAGTTAAGTTAGTAAAAAGTATTAAAGGTAAGACTAACCTAAGATAAAACTAAGACTAATACTTATAAGACTAGTTTTAATAGCTAGTAAAGGACTTATAAGTAAGCTTATTAATAGGGCGCTTAATATATATAAAATATAGGATAGAGTACTCTAATCCCGCTATAATAGCGACTTACTTATAAGGAGGGGGCTTTAAAAGAGGTAAGCTACTACTACTTAAGTTAGCTTCTATAAGAATATACCCTTATATTCCTATTTTACTATTATAAAGAAATAATAGGCATAGGGAGGCTCTATAGAATAAGCTAGTAAAAAGAGGCTCTATAATATAGTCTAAGGGAATAACCCTTAAAGATAAAGACCTCTACTAGATATCTATACCTTCCTTTAAGAAACGCGGGTTACGATAAGCCTATCCTATTAAAATAAAATATACATTTTATGCATAAGTTAATTATAAGTAGAACGGATACCCTATTGCCTATTTTAGCCTAGTAGTTCCGAAGATATCCGCGATACGAGAATAGGTAGGGCATAGAACATTCTAGTTAAATCTACTACCTATGCTAGAACCTATAGTCTTACGTTAACTATCACGTTATAATTAGACTACCTACTAAGTTAGGAAGACATACTATAGATAGAGCTTTTTAAGTACTATAGAATATACTAGAAAGCTAACTAATTAGTCTACTAGTAGGCGAGCAATAGTCTATAAAAGACGAAGGATTTCCCTAGGAGTAGTAGATAAAATAAGTAAGTTTATAAGTATCTTTTACAACGCTATTCTTTTAATATATTATTTAGCCCCTTATATACTCGTTATAAATTCCGGACGAAATCCTACCCTATACTCCTTAGACCGATCTTTCCGCTTACGTTATCGATTACCCGATTCTACGCTTATTGCTTATACCTTTTTATAGCTTCTTAGTTAGATATTATAAAGTAATAGTAAACGATCTAGATATAATGCTAAAAAGACTTAAGGATATAGAAATAAGGTAAGTAAGGAATCGGGGCCTATAAAAATTATAATAGATAGAGAGGTAAGAGGAAGTAAGAGCGAAACTAAGGGGGGAGGATAGTAAATATAGGCCGCCGCGCCCTTAATTAAGAAGTCGCGTAGCTAGATAGGAACCGATTTTTAATTAGCGGAGCTAGCCGACCGAATTTCGATTAACCGGCCCTACCTAAAAGCGACCTATACTAGTACCTAGCCTAGTAACCGGATATTACCTACCTTACTAACTAATAGACCGATAAGCTAACGCGGCTATAGCTATATAGTAGCGTCGCGGGAGCCGTAGGGAATAGAGGCGCCTATAAGTTAAGCCCTTAGAGAGAGACTACTACCTATAACCCTAGGCCCGGGCTAGCGAGCCCGGGCCGCGGCCGCTTAAGATAGTAGCGGCTATAGCCTAAGACGGCCTACGCTAAAATATAAATATATAGGAGAGTCCTACGGTAGCCGGCGTAAATTTCCTATATACTACTACTATAACCTTATTTAAAGCGGACCTATATTAAAAGAGGGGAGGGTTTTCCCTTAAGTACTTTAGTTTTTCCCTTTTATTTAATACTAAAGATCTAAATACCTTTAGCTAGATCCTTAGTATAATCTTAATAATAATAATAATATATTAAAGATATCTATAATAACCGCTAAATAATCTATATTAAAGCTCTTAGTAGTATAATAGTAATATAAGTATTTTTATAGTATCTTTAAGTAAGCGATCTTCTTTATTATATTAAATTTAACCTATATAATAAAATAAGGTTTAAGGTATATTATAAACCTATCTATAATATTAAAAGATATAGAAAGGTTTCCCTAAGGTTCTTAGCCTTAATAATATATATAAATCTAACTACTTTAGTCTCTTTCTTTTTTAAGTTATTAAAGTTACTAACTAAAAGTCCTTAGCTAACTTTACCTTTAGCCTTATTAACTTAAAGAAAAAGTAGGATATTAATAGCTATATAAGTCCCTTAATACTCTTTATATATAGGTTAGGGCATAAGAGCCCTTTATAGTTATTATAGATAAAGAAGCTACTCTTAAAAACGCCCTCCTTTATATTTTCCCCTTAATATAATAATAACTTTATATATTCTATATTAATAGTAATATTCGGGCTTAAATCTAGTCCTACTAAAAAGACCTAGTAGATCCTAATAGCCCTAAAAACTCTATTAATATAGAGGTCCCCTAGGAAGTAAAAGCTATCCTTACTTAAGAGCTATTAAATAAAGAGCCGCTAACGCCGCTACCGCTATTATATTTAGGCTAAATAATAAGGAAGTTAAATTTAGCTATAAAGGAATATTCCTAGCTTAAAAGCGTATTATTTATTCGAAAACTAAAGCGGATTTTTATAAGATATAGTAGTAGCTTAATAAGATCTTTAGTTAATACTAAGGGTATATTATAATATATATCTTAAACGAATATATACTATAGTATAAGTAGTAGGTAGGCTACTTTATTAGCTAATATTATAACTTTAGGCAGCGGGTAAATAGCTTAGTTAAGACCGCCTATAAGGATATAAAGTCTTATTTAGTTATAGGTACCTCTAACCTCTTATATCTTTATAATACCTTTATATAGATAATTAAGAATAAAGAGATAATATATATATAAATAGCTGCCTAGTAAGAGATATAATAAAAGTATTAGTTCCTTAAGTAGACTTAGCTTAAGGATCTTAGTATAAAAATTACCTATAAAGCAGTTAACTTACTTACTATATAATATAGGCTTACCCTCGCTATAATACCTCTACTAACGCGAGAGCTATAGCTATTATAGCCTTATAGCGGGCGATTTATATACTAACTTAGGCTACCTTATATATATACGATCCTTTAATACCTTTAAGCTAGGTTAACGCTTAAAAAGTATAATATTCTCTCGCGATAGTAGCTTAAGAAGCCGTTAGTAAAGACCCCCCCCCCTTTCTAAGTAAATTTAATACTAATTACTACTATTAGGACCTCGAGGAGCTATTACTATAAATCCGCGACCCCGACGTTATTACTATTATACGCGGCCGGCCCCGTAATAATAAGCTACCTATACTAAGCTCCCTTATAGCGAGGGTATTATAGACAGCATTATAGACGGCATTATAGTTATAGCCGGCTATAAGGGCATCCTAGCTACCTAATTCGAGTTAGGCTAGCTTAAGGCGGCTCAACGCAAGCGTTCGAAGGCGCCGGGGGCTCGACGAGATTAATAAACTTAGCTATAGCCCGCGGTCTCTCGCAGCGTCATAACAAGGATCATCAGCTCGAGGAAATACAAGGGGAAGGGGATTAAGAGGAGGACGCGGCAGGAGGGGCGCGCCGCCGGCTTCGTCAGGGCAACCGGCTTCGTCAGGGCAGCCGGCTTCGTTAGGCGTTGGATGGATCGTTAAGTAGGATGCAATTAAGGCGGCGACGCCGCCGCCGCCCATACAGCCGTAAGGGCCAAGGAGGAGCCGGGTCAATTAACGGGCCGATTGTTGCAACTTCGAGCTTAAGGCCCGGAAATGCGTTATTTGAGCGAATTGAGAGGCATGCGTTATGTGGCCTTTATTGCCTCTTGTGTGTGTGTATGTGCGGGCGGGCGTAGGCGCGGGTGCGGGCATTTAGGCGGTACGGGTACTTGCCAGGCGCGCGCGGTATAAATGGGCGGGGCGGGCTGGCTTTAGTACGTATCTTAAAAATGGGTCGAGTGTGCAAATAGCAATATGCTATTGTGTAAATAGCAATACTCGAACTAAATTCACCTTTCTATGCCCCTATTTCTTCTACTATGCTCTCAAGTCTCTACTTAAGAAGAACCTTCCGTTACTACGCTCCTTAAGGCATAACCGCCTGACGGCGACTGTCTAACACGACGCCTGCGTCTAACACAGATAAGAATCCCTAACTATGCCTACATCAGACTTCGTAGCTGGCTACTTTTAGCCTTAGGTCGTATGGCCCTTAATCCTAGCGCGGCTCAGCAATCTTAAATGCATGTTACGGAGCGTCATTATAATCACTGTTATTATTATCTTCTTTCAGCTGTCAGATCTAGACAGTGGAGGTAGAGGTAGCGGGGCAGGCACAAGCGGTCGTGACAGAGGAAGAGTCAATAGCGATGAAAAAAACCCAGCCGCCACTATTTGTTCTAGAGTGAAGTCCCGCTGCATCTACAGAGCAAAGAAATATAAAAAAAATTCAAAATTAAATAACCTTGTACGGATACATGGTTTTATACTAGGAAAAGCTGAAGGCTACTTTCGAGACTTGGAAACTACGAACAATCAAGCAGGCCCGGCAACAATAGAGAACTGCCCTCCAGCACCGGCCCAAGTCATCGGCCTACCCTTGAGCTCCTTCCCCTTGACATGCTCTGCAACCTCCACGTCTCTTTCCGACCCTAGGCCAAGCTGACCTTCCGAGCCGGAGCCTGTAGCATATACCTCGCCTTTGTTCGAAATGAAGATCGTATGCTCTGTTCCGCAAGTAACATGAGTGAAGGTCCCGGGAATAGCTATAGGCCGTAGGCAAATGCGAGGTTTTTCTCGATCATCATGCTTAATGAGAGTCGTATCCTGAAGCTGCTCGGCTGAAAAGTGAATTCCGAGTTGACCGCCATCCAGTCGTCCCCAAAAAAGGCATTGCCCATCAGCTGTTAGGGCAGCCGAATGGTGAGCTCCACCGCTTAAGGCTATAACGCCTTTTCCGCAAAGGTCCCGAATCTTAATCGGCCAAGGCAGAATAGCAGAATCGTTACCGGCCGTTGGAGCATAGCCAGCCTCGCCGTAGCTATTTAAACCCCACGCCCAGACATTATCATCTCGGTCAACTGCGAAAGAATGATACTCCCCAGATGCAATATACTTAGCATTGCTGCGGCAAACTCTAACGAGACGAGGCCTGAGGCAGTCTTGATCTCGCCCAAATAGCCGCCGGGCGAACTGCAGCTGATCATTTGAGCCCCATGCAAAAGTCTGACCATAAGAATCGAGAGCCATAGCGTGATTAGCTCCGCAGACGATTTGTATGATGTCCTTAAGGCCTTCGATGAGCAAAGGTGTCTTTTGATTCTTGATGATAGTCCCGTCTATACTGTTATAGCCAAAACGGCTATTCCCCTCGGAGTCCTACCATGCTTATATTAGAGATAGACCAACGTCTAGGCCGTGTAGCTTACGCGAAATGTACCCCAACCATAAGCAAGGCCAGTGTCTGTCAGCGCAATGCTATAGCTATCGCCAGCTGCAACTTGACAGAAGCGAGTGTTTGGTGGGAAATGGGCAGCAGGAATAGCTAGTGGAGTCGACTCTAGGGGATTCAGCTCTGCATCGTCGTCCGGGACGGTATCCATGTCGCGTCGCTCAGGGATCCAGTGCGTGTCTCTCCCAAGGGCGAACTCGTCATTAACACCCCAGGTGATAATCTGATCGTCGATAGTGAGAGCTATCGTATGCATCCCTCCGCATGCTAGCTGTGTGATATGGTACTTGGTTGGATCTTTGGGGTCGAGAAATGGATTTAAGGAAGGGCGAGACGCTTCTGTCTGCTTAGGCCCGAGCCCGAGCTCGCTGTTATCGCCATTCCCAAACACAAGCACGCTAAGGACCTTGGTGGGAACTTGGTTAATTATGGGGTGCGTCTCGTGTTCCGCTTCGGCTGTGGTTGATGTGCGCTTTGGATCGGATTTTGCCTTCTTGGAGGGACGTTGTGGGCGGGAATCGTTATATCTGCGTTTTCCGGATGAATTTAATGCGTCGCCGTTAGGCAACCGACCAGAGGCGTGCTTCGGGGGGTCTGGCGGCAAACGGCGTGAGCGAGGCGAACTCAAGGCATGTCAAGGGGGACTCACCAGAGGGGGACTTCTGCTTCTGCTTGGAGGCGGCGGCGGCCTTAGAGCGGGGCACTTTTGCGCCACTTCTGTTATTGGCCCTACCCTTGGAAGCAGGTCCCAGCTGCAACTTGGCGGTTGCTTTCTTCGAAGCCATGGCGAGAGGCGTGTGCCTTACGGAACGTAGTGACGAGAGGTTCTATTACGCCTGTGTTAGCCGGCACCCAGGTAGTGTGGCTGGTCAAGGCGCAGGGCCGATACCGTATAATTAGGTGCGCATATTCCCCACCTTGCCCCCCTCTGCCCATACCTGCCCGCCCGAGGCGTAGGCTACTTACGTAATATCTATATATTCGGACTCGAGGCTTAGAGATACTCTTAAGTAGAGGCTTAAGAGTATAGTAGATAAAATAAGGGTATAAAAAGTAAATTTAGTAATATATATTTTAGTTTAATTATTAATTAAGGGAGGAGCTTTATAAGGGTATTTATCTTTATTATAGGTCTAAGTATAAGCTTAGACCTTAGCTAGTAGCGTTATAGGGTAGAGCGGGCTATATATATAAATATGTATTTAATAGTAGTTAGTATAGTTATAAGAGTCTTTAACTATTATAGGTTATAGGCTTAGGCTATAGCCTAAGCCGTATAGTTATATATAGAGGGCTAGATCCTATATATATATATATAGGCTAGCCGTATATAGAAGAGCTCTATATATCTTCTTAATATTATCCTATAGATAGCACCTATATATATACTACTACCTACTCTATAATAATAGTCTATAGTTAGATCTTATATAGCTTATTATTATAATATAATAAGAGGTACTTATTATATATTCCTTTACTTACCTTATAATAATATAAGCTATTAATATATTAAACTTAGTATTAAAACATTAATAGTATTAGCTAAGGTAATTATAATAGTAATAGCTATTATAAAAAGAAGCTTAGTATTAATAGCTATAATAGTAAGTAAAAGAGCTAATAAATAGTACTTATAAAAAGAAGCTTAGTAATAATAAAATAAGTAAGTATAATTTATAAAGCTATTTTATTAAATATTATAAGACCTAAACTAGTAAGGGAACTTATATTAAATCCTTAATACCCTCTTAAAACGAACTTTAATAAATATATATCTTACTACTAAAAATATAAAGTATAAAGTAGCTCTTAGTAAATAAAAGCTATTATTATAGCTATTAAAAGCTAGTATATACTTAGTATAATAGTATAAAGCTAAATAATTATTTATTTAAAGCTAAGGAGAAAGGAGAAAAACTCTATCTTAATTATACTACTTATCTATCTTTCTTAGTTCTTAGCTTAACTTATATTTAAGTACTATTTACCCTAAGCTTAAATTAGGCTCTACTTATATATAAGTCTACCTTAAGTTAACTTTAATATAGTCGCTATAGTATAACCTTAGCCTTTTATAAGTATAGCTTATAATTCTCGTAAAGATAGATATAAGAGGTATATAAAAAATATATAAAGGTAAAATTAAAAGTAAGGGGTTAGATAGGTAAGGCAGAGAGATTTAATTCTTATAGGAGTAGTAATAAGGGTAAGGGAGTAATTATTATATTGCTTTAATTATCCTTCTTTCTTCTATCTAACGCCTCTCTTTATACCCTTCTAGCATCTTAATTAATAAAGAAGATCTTACTTAAAGAAGCTACTAATATCCTTTTAACTACTAAGCTTTTTACTAGTTTTCCCCCTCTTTTCTAGCCGTTGCCGGTATATACGTCTTATCTCTCGCTACCTCTATAGGAAGCTATCGCTACTTCTACTTCCCCTTATGCCCCTACCCTCCTTTCTATACCTCTTTTTAGCTCCTTCTTCCTTTTTCTATACCGGGTGTTTTTAGCTTCCTTAGTCCCTTATACTAAGGGATATCTCCGAGAACTATAAAATTAGGCTACGCTTTATAATACACCTCCTTAGCTATAGCCTGCCCTTATAGAAAGGGTAAAGCTAAATACCTAGGCCGGTAAGCGTGTAGAGGAGGTCTTATTCTATACTTATCCTCTACTCGAGAAATCCGGGTTTTAGCCCTAGGCTCTTTTAAACCTACTTTAGGAAAAAGGGGCCTTAAGGAGGAAATTAAGTCTTATAAGAAGTAGGGCTTCTCTAAGGATAAGTCCCTAAAAAGGGGGCCTTTAAAAAGAATAAGTCTTAATTAAGCTAGGGGCCCTCCTTTAAGATAAGTCCTAATTTCTATCTTTAGCTATAAACGTCTCCTTCCTCCTATATACTATTAGCTCCTCTCGTAGACTCTTAAGGCGGGCCTCTAAGGATAGTTTTTCTCGAACGTCTTCTAGCTTAATTTACTATAAAAAGATAGCTAGCTTTTACTTTAATAAGGGCTTTATAAGACCGTTAGCTTTTATTAATACTATTAGAACTTAATAGACGGAAATTAGTCCCCTTTAGACCTCTTAACGTAACTAATACTAATAGATATCGATATACTATAGCTAGGTCGATAGCTTACTATTTTCCTCTATAAGAATTTATATAGTCTATATATTATCGTATTCTATAGCTAATAGGAACGGAATTTATAGTAATAAAGATATTAGTAGCTAGCTAAGGAAAATCGCTTCTTTTAATGCTTCTAAAAGAGCTAGTAGCTCTGCCTCTATACTTAAAGTCGTAATAGTAGCTTACTTCGAAGCTATCTAAGTAATAGTTCTTTTAAAAAGGGATATAATATACCCCTATAAGCTTTTTCTATTTAAGGAATTATCTATAAAGAACGAATCGCTTAAATAAAGGAAGATTTCGGTAGTTAATTTCTTCCTTTCCTACCCTCCTAAGCGTAGACTATATAATCTCGTTAAATAGAGATAAAGGATAGCTTTATCTACTACTTCTTAATGCCTAGGGCTAGGATTCTAGTTATACCTAGCTAGCTAGGAGACTATAAAAGAGATACCCGGTCTAGTAGAAATAGCTTTAAAAAGTAAGGAGCCTACCTTCTATTAATATTAGTATTTCTCTTACTCCTTAGCTTAAAAGGACAGATTAGGTAAAAGCTCTTTATTTAATATAGGCGTAGAGGGAAGCTTCTTATTAAGGGAATTAGGGAGGAATCTATAAGCGACCTTATTAATATAGGCGTCCTAGGTAAGCTATATAGTCTATTAGGACCTATTCTAAAGGATTTATATCCCTAGGAACTACTTTAGCTCCCTTAGCTTAGTTATTTTATACCTTTATTATAGGCCTTATATAGCCTCCTTAATAGTAACTTCTTCCTCTTTAGGGTAGGCCTAGATAATATTATTAACGTAGAAGAAGACTATAATTTTACCCTTCTATATTATATACGGTTCCTAAGGGACCTTTTTAAAGCCTAGGGCTTTAAGGGAACCTATTAAATACTATTACTAAAGAAGGGGTAATCTTTATAGTCTATATAGAGCTTTCCTTAGCTATAAAACCTTTCCTAGCTTTTAGAAGCTTAGTAGAAGGTATATATAGATAACTTCTTCTTCCTTAAGTAGGTAGTTAATAAAGGCGTTAACTATATCTATCTAATTAAGCTCGAGGTCGAATTTTACTATTATAGCTATAAGGGTCCGAAAAGACATCCCTATTAAGGTAATTGCCTTAGTAGGTAAATCCCCTTTTTCCTATTAATTCCTATAAATAACTAGCCGGGCTTTATACTTTTAAAGGAAGCTATATTTATTAGTCTTATAAATAAAGACCTACTTATAGCTAAGGACCTATTTTCCTCTTACCCTTTCTTTAAGGACCTCTTTAAAAGACCCTATCTATTTATATAAAGCTAGGTAGTCTTTCTAGGCCTAGAAAAACTAGTCTCTATAGGGGTGTCTTTCTAGCTGCTTTTAGTTTACTAGTAGGTCTAGGAGGTCTCTTTTATATACCTTCCTTACTAATAGCTATAGCTTAAAGAGCCGGCCTACTATAATGCTTTATAGGAACCGTCTCTTATAAGCGTTAGATAAAAGTCGGAAAAACGTTTAAAATAAAGGAGAGGTTAATCTTCTTTAGTAACTATATCGGGCCCTATACCTTCCTTTAATTCTCGAAGTAAGGATAAAAAGGTAGCTAGGTAATCCTTTAAGAGAGGTACCTTTCCTACCCCCTTAAGGGTTAATATAGAAAGACTAATAGAGAAAGCTACTTTTAGATCTTCTTTTTATTCTATAAGAAGAGGCGTAGGAAGGTAGGCGTATTCTAGCTCTATAGCTTTCCTATAGTCTCCTTCTTTATCTAGATTATCTAATCTAGTAGTTTCCTCTTTTTCTTTAAAGTTAGCGTTATTCTCGACTACTTTAACGTTAGTTTCTTCTTTTATTTCCTTATCTAGGGCCTCTTCTTATAACTATTAGGAAGGGGGAATTTAGATCTTCTAAATTAGCTAACGTTATAAAAGTAAGAGGGGCTATTAATCCCTCTTTCTATTAAAGAAGCTAGATTCGTTAAAAATTATATCCTTAGTTAAAATAACCTTTTATAAAAGAGGAATCTAGATCTAGAAGATATTTATAGAATTATAACTAACGAGGTAACTAATAAAGGCTCTAGGATTAAGCTTTCTTTTCTTCTTCCTTTTTAGCTATATATCGGTAGTTATAGTATATACCTTATAGCTATAGGTACGAAGGTAGGCTAGCGAGGCCCTCTTTTTTATAAAGAGCTTAAGGGGGGATTTCTAGTTTACTCCTTAGGTAGTCCCTCTAAGGGTCCGGTTCTATATATAATAGGCGGTCTTAACGACTTCCCTCTAAAGGTCGCATAAAAGCCTTATAATAAGTCTTATTATATAGGCCCTTTCTATTATAGCACCCCTTAATCTTTCTACCCCTCCGTTCTAGGCCTAGGTATTCGGTGTTAATAAGAGGGGTAAAATGCTCCTTTTTCGAAGCTATTTTAAGATATTCTTCGTAAATAGCTCTCTATTAGTCTATATCTTCTTTACCTTATAGCTAAAGTAGGATTTTATCTAGTTAACGAAGTCTTAGAGGGCAAACTAGTTATACTTACTTAGGTAGGTCCGTAAGAAATAAGGGAAAACTATCCTTAAGAAAGCGTCTACAAAAAATATTACCTTAATAAAGCTTTCTTAATCCCTAGAACGTTAGTTTAGTCGACCTAAATTTCC